ACAATGTAGGGCCCTGATCCATCAGTACCAGAATCAAAATGGAGGTTTTCAGTCTCTAGCCCCATTACCAAAGATGGGAAACTAGATATACCAGCTTGTTATTAGTTTTTGTTTGTTTATGGTTGATGTGTATGCATGTGGGGGTATGGTCTGTGGTGACCAGAGGTCAAGCTCAGGTGTGGTTCCTCAAGGACTTTCCACCTTGTTTTGTGAGACAGTCTGTCACTGGAACCTGGGGCTTGCCAGTTAGACCAGGCTGACTGGCCGGTGAACCTTAGGGATCCTCCTGTCTCTGCTTCCTCAATGCTGGTATTACAAGTGTGTGTCACCATGTCTGGCTTTTTAATATGGATTTTGGGGAGCATTTTGAGATCCTCATGGTAAACACTAGCAGCTGCACCATCTCCCAAGCCCCTAGCTATAGTTTTGACAAGCATGTCTCAGTGGTGCAGACAGAAGCTACAGTGTAAGCATGGTTTCACACTGCCACTCAAACTTAAAAACTTGTTTTTGTGGTCCAGCTTCTGACAAAGAGAAGGAATACAAAAGTAAAGGAGAAAAAGAGAGGCAGGAAGGAAAGCCAGAAAGAGTGAGGTCCGAGCAGCCTGTAAGTGAAGGAGGTCTGTGCACTAAGTGCTCTCTGGACCAGCTGCATGGAAACAGCCGTCCTTAGAAACCAGGTGTGGGATCTGGAACTGTTCATGTGAGCTAGGTGACCAGACAGAATGCTCACAGAATCCTCAAAATGCTACCATACGATCAGAAAGCTGAAGGAAAGTTGGACATTTACAAGTGAAGCAGTTCAGGAAAGCCTCAGTGGTTCTCAGAGGAGTTCCCCAGGAAGGACACACAAAGGGTACTTAGTAATTACTCATTATATCGACAAAGATTGAGCCTGAGCAACGCAAAATGCAAATTGAGTTTCTCCAGGTAATTTCTAACTAAGAATGTAGGCATACCTATTGTGTCTGGCCTATAGGGAAAAGCGAAGCCTTCTCTCATAGGGCATGAGCTGTGTCTTCTTTCACCTTTTGAGAAAAGCTTGACCGGGGGTGGGGGGTCTCCAGAAGACCATGCATTCTTGTCCTCTAACTTACACAAGCCACAACAGCGTTAAAAAAAAAAAAGTCTCAGCTTTCTAGTCTATAAAAGGAGGGTACTAGTTACTTACAGATGGGCTTGCCCAGCATTGCAGCCCCAGCGCCTAGTATAAATAGTTGTAGGTGTAGTAGATGTTGAATACATCTTAAAGAAAAGGGAAAATAAGATGGTTGGTTGGCTTTTCTGATGCTTGTATAAAGCAATACCTTAACATTCCCTCACATTTCATGCCTGGCTTATGGCTGCTCTGGAACTAGTAGGTTTTATCATTATGAGGAAGAGGAAAGGAGGTTTTGGTGATGAACAAGAATGGACTCAGTTCATATCTTCCAAACGCCTAGAGGAGGATCTTCATTGTCACTGAAGGGGGTCTGTTCTTCCCTTTTCCCTTCTCTCTGCAATTCAGAGTAGCTCTTGGTCTGCTGGTGCTGCTGGAACAAAACACAGTTACCTGGGCAGCTTCTCAACAACAGAACCTTTCTCACAGTTGTGGAGGCTAGAAGGTTCACAACCCAGGAGCTCCCAGATTATGTGTTCAGTGAAGTCTCACTTGTAGCTCGTAGATGGCACTGTGTGCTCACAGAGTGGAAAGGAGCCAGGCAGCACAGTAGCTCTTGGTCTGCTGGTGCTGCTGGAACAAAACACAGTTACCTGGGCAGCTTCTCAACAACAGAACCTTTCTCACAGTTGTGGAGGCTAGAAGGTTCACAACCCAGGAGCTCCCAGATTATGTGTTCAGTGAAGTCCCACTTGTAGCTCGTAGATGGCACTGTGTGCTCACAGGGTGGAAAGGAGCCAGGCAGCATGGTGGGATTCTTAAGAGAGTGTACCCTCATGATCTAATCCTCTAACTGTATCATTTTGGTGATTAGGTTTCAAGGTTTAAGTTTTGGGAGAACAAAACTACAGCTTCAAAATCATGCCAGACTTAGGAAGAGGCTGATGTGAAGAAACTCATGGATGGGTGTGTGTGTGTGTTGGGGGGGTGTCCTGCAGGTGTTTTATTGCATAAACAAAATGAAAAGCCAAGCTGTGAGTGGGCTTTTGTATGATTCAACTAATTATTCCCTGTGACTAAGTGTTTATTCACATCTTTGCTTCAGAGCCAGCTAGTGAAATATGGAATTAGCTCTGGAGGTAGAGAGCAGGCTTTCTGGTCACTTTTCTTATTAAAGCCCACACAGGAGGCATTTGACCTCAAGGGCAGTAGAAGAGTGGTTCTTTTTAGGGCTTTTGTCTGACTGACCAATCAACCTTTGAGCATGAGGAAAATTTCTGGGTACTTGCTCTTTTCCCTCCCATTCCCTGGCATTTTATCTATAGAGCACATGCTGTTCAGATCACAGTGCTTCTAACTTTCAGCTAAGAGAGGAGCTGCATAGCTCAGGCTTGGGGACTGGAGAGCTTCCCAGTTAAGAAGACAATGTCAGTCACTGTTGATGAATGGCCACTATTTGACAAAGAAAACAAGATGATGAGAAATAGTGCAGTACTAAAATGCCCTATGTAGTAAGTGAGCAGTGGGCCCTAAAAGATACACCACTTTCAAATCGGGGAATGTGCCCTTATATGGAAAAACGCCTTTGTAGATGTAAATAAGGATCCTGAACTCTTAAGAGGATGATGGTGTCAGATTTCCTTGGAACTGGAGTCATGGATGGTTGTTAGCCACTATGTGGGTGCTCTTAACCTCTGAGTCAACTCTCTAGCCCCCAAGACTATTCTAAGAGATGCGCAAACACAGAGAGAGGGAGGGAGGGAGGGGAGAGGGAGAGAGAGAGAGAGAGGAGAAAGAGAGAGTGACAAAGATTGACACTGACTGCAAGCAACAACAGCAGGAAACAAGCATGGGGGGAGCAGGGTCTCCCCACAGCCAGATGAGGGCTGGTGGCTTCCAGGACTATGTGAGACTAGGAACCATAGGTGTAAGCCACAGAAGTTCTGTAGCCACAGGAAACCTGTGTAGCATATGATGGTGATGGCATCAGACTGGGAGTGGCCAATAAGCCAAAGGTGATTCTCAAAGAGGATTTTTGTTGAAAAGCAAAATGCTGTTTCAGTTATTTGCATCTATGCTGTAGTTGCTATTATTTTCATGTACAAACTCTACCCTACCCCCTTGTATGACCATGGAAAGCTACTTCAGTAACCCACCCTCAAAGAAACGAGCAAGGTCAGCAAGGGCATGATTCCTAAACAGAAACGTGGTGCTGTCTCTGCTCCTTTCCTTACATCCTTACCACTCAAAAAGCCCAGTGCAGGGCTGGGGAGATACCTCCATCAGTCAGTGAAGTGCTTGGTGCAGAAGCATGCCGACCTGAGTTTGATCCCAGCACCCATGCAAAGTGGGGCACGGTAATGGACGCTTCTAGTCCATTTCTAGGTGGATTCTGGGTTTCTCTTGCCAGTTAGCCTGGTATAATCAGCGAGCCCCAGTTCACAGTGAGAGACTGTCTCAAAAAAAAAGGTGGAGTCCACTGAGATGGTTGAGCAAGCAGAGCACTTGCTGCCAAGCCTGATAACCTAAGTTTGATCCCTGGCACATGCACAGTAGAAGGAGGGAACCAAATCCTGTAAGTTGTCCTCTCACCTCCACATGCACACTGATGCATGCAGGCATAGGCACAGACAGACAGACAGGCAGACACACAATAAATGTACAAAAACCAATGGAAAAATACTTGGTGGACAGCTCCTCCTGAGGAACAACACCTTCATACACATGCACACATGTGTGTACGTACACATGTATACCCCTTCTGGGCTCCATGAGCACGCACACACACACACACACACACACACACACACACACACACACACACACAGAGCATAACGCAAGGTGTCTGTCTGAGGGCCGCAGTACATGCTTTGTTTCCTGAAGCTAACTTTGCTTTTCTGTGCTGAAGGCCAGGGAGATGCAACCAAGGAAAAGGCCACAGTTTTGTTCTATTATTTTTCCTACCAATGATACTCTCCTAAGTCTTAGCTCTGCTATAACCAGCCGCTGGCTCACAGGAAACACACCAGCTCTAAGAGAGCAACTTCTTTTGTGCCTTCTGGAGGCCCCAAAATATCAATTTTTAAGTTTGTCAGGAACATGAGATAAATATTTTAGCTACCATTTTATTCCCATCCAAGGCTAAGGGACAGTTTAGAAAAGGTCTTATTCTAAGTACATAACTTAGAAGATGTGACAGGGCTGTTGATGCCATTGTTTTGAAGTTAGCCTGTCAGTCATTCTGATTGAAACTTAACCCCAATGGCTTCCCTGAGTGCAATAAAATGCTCTGCAAAAGGCTGCAAAATCGTGGGACGTAATAAAGTCTGCTTAGCTTCATTTCCAATGCTGCAGAGTCCTGAGAACGAGGCCCATTTCCTTATGCCTTGGGATTTGTTTGAGTTACTTTCATGCCTGGAAATGACAGAACATAAAAACAGACATTTAGTTAGAACCGGTAGCATTTTTTTTGAGTCATGGCAATAAACAAAATATAAGTTTGTTTACTGCTAATCTGTTGGATTGCCGTTAACATTTTATGAGAGATGATATTGATGTGTGGGCAAGCTATATGAAATAAGTGGATTTCAGCCTTACCGATGCCTAGACTTACTCTGTGTCCACACATTTTCTTCATTCTTTGTCAACCACCCGTGCCACCAGGGGTCAACTCTATGGACTCTTAAAGTCTCTTATGTTGCTGATGCAAAGCTTAGCTACAAAGGAAAGCAGTCCAGACCTATATGAACTAGGTAAGCAGGGGGCACCACACAGTGCCATTGTCCAAACTTTGTTAGCTTAAAAAATACAGATTTCTGGGCTTGGTCTCCCACATTCTGACTTACCAGACCTGTACAGATGATGAGGAATCTGTGTTTCAAAACAGACTCTGTGAATGTGAGGAGTTTGGCACCCAAATTTGGGAAATTGTAAAGCCACTGTATAATAGGCAGAATCAGCATTTTTCAAGGCCAGGGTACCCTAAGGGTGTAGGTCAGATCTAAAGCATTTAGACCCATAAGATTAAACATTCCCCTTACTTTCCTATTTTATCTAAAAAGAAAATAAGAAAATCACTTGGTGGTGTCGTGTACACTGGCTTATGTCTAAACCCAGGTGACCACAGAGATGTATTTTGTAGCTCTGATCTGGCCTCCTCTACTGCAGCCTTAACCTCAATTATTGGCCTCAGTGAAATGAATGTGGCCAGCAGCTGGGAGAGCAGGGGCCATTAGCTGGAGGAGGGCAACTACAGGAACGAAAGTCAAGCTGGGAAGAGAGAGATGAAGATGTCGTGGGTTGTATTTCATTAACTGGGGGAATGACTGGAGGGAAAAAAATGTGCTAAGAGAATTAGGCAGCTACGTGGGTTTAATAAATGAAGATATTTTGAAGAATACTGTTGCCCAGCATAGACAAACATCTCTCTCAGGGTTTTCATTTTTCTAGATTGATTTTTCTTATTCATGTGTAGTGTATTTGTCTATGTGCTTGTATGCTGTGTGTGTGTGCGGGTGTCTGAGGAGGCCAGAAGAGGGAGTTGGATCACTTGGAGCAGGAGTTACATAGGTGGTTGTGAGCTGCCTGACATGAGAGCTGGTCCTCTCAGGCCCTCTGCAAGGGCAGCCAGTGCTCTTAACCACCGAGCCATCACTCCTGCTCCTCCTTTAGTGTTTTCAAGAGATTCCAGAAGAGTATTAAATAGCTTTCACATCTCATTTGCCATTTGTGGGTTTCAGAGTGACACAGTAGATTGAGACCCTAGGCATCGAGGTGTTAGGACCCAGATCCCTGTCTATTTCAGGAGTGATAGTCAAGGATCTCTTCAGTATAGACCTGTTCAAATCCACAGTGGTGAGGATACAAATATTGACCTATGGTATGCATGGGAAGATTTCAGTGAGTCATAATACACTTTTCCTCCAAGTTGGTAACAAAGTCAGAGTGCAAAGGGCAGGGCAGCACTGTGGAATAACTTGGGTCCTTTTTGGGATGAGGAAACAGAGGCAGGGTCACTTCAGCTCCTAACCAACACTAGAGTAACCAACACTAGAAAGCTCTCCTCTGAGCTAAGGATTACACTGTAGTGAGGGGTGGAGAGTGAGATGTTGGAAACAGCCAACTTGCCTCCCAGAGAAGGGGCCTAACTTATTCTGCCATGACACTTGGGTCATCTGCTGTTGTGCCTGGCACTACCTGCCATGTCTGGAGATACAGGTCATCTTCCGATCATTTATCACAGACTTTGTCCTTGAACAGTTATTGACTTTGAGTCAGAGGTACCTGTGCAGGCCTGGAAATGGATGTCCCCTTTCCTTTCTTCCACCTTGCCTGTCTAGGATAGATTTATATCCTAGAACTTTTCCTCAGTTTTATTTTTGGTTTTGGAACATTGTGGCTAGTGTTAGCTCCCGCATCTGCCCTTCCTGATCCAGCCCTGTAATCTCTGAATGCCCCATACCTGCCTGTCTCTGTCTCTCTCCCTCTCCCCTCCTCCTCTTCCCCCTCCTCCTCTCTCCCTCTCTAAGAGCTAAGTCTAAGTTCTTAATAGACACAGTGTCTAACACGCTGTCCTCCTCTCCCAAGAACATGCTTGGAGAAATGATGGATGGCATTATACTGTAAGAGGTTTATTCTACAGAGTCATAAGGGACAGCAGAAGGGACTTCACATTGCTCAGCATAGTACAAGAGATTTTTGGAGAAGGAAGCTTTGAATTTGGAAGAGAAATTTAAATGTCTGATGGAGAAGCTTTATGGAAAGTTTTCAGGAAAGGCTAGTAACCTTTTCATTCATCTCTCCTTGAAACCCACAGGATGGTCTTTGAAGTTGTATGATTTAATGGGTACCAGGTAAAATCCTGGTACCATTAGGTCCCCATCTGGGACTCTGAACTGAATCCTGCTGACTTCTCCTTGAATGTGCAGCTGTCATTATTTTAACCAGTTTTCCATTCCTGTAGCAGATTTCTGAGATGAGGAGTTTATAAAGAGAAAAGGTTTATTTGGGCTCACAGTTTGGGAGGGTTGCTTGTGAAGAGGTGTCCCAATTGCTTTGGCCTTCAGTGGGGTATTATGACAAGACCACATGATGGCATAAAACTGCTCATGTCATGACCAGGAAGCCAAACAGAAATAGGAAGAAACCAGAGTCTCCTTCAAGGGTATACCCCCAGTGAACCAAAAATCTCCCAGTGGCTTTTTCCTCTAAGATTCCATCACCTCCCAATAATGGCATGTTGAGGACCAAGCCTCTAACACATGGGCCTGGAAGGGTCATTCTAAATGGTACATCCATCAAGCTCCAGAAAGTCTTTCTCTATAACCTTTGTGTACCATGAAGGCAGCCACAGTTTGCTATGCGCATGAAGGAGACTATATTCTCTCCTACTTCAGTCCCCCATGTTCCCACAGACCAGAGGAAGTCCTCTTCTGCATCAAAGTTCATAAGACAGATTACTATGTCTCCTGAAGGTGAACCAGGATTGGAGATGCCCAAGCAGGGTATCTATTTGTTACAGGCTAAGTAACTTGATAGCTTGTAAAAGGAAGTTGACTTTCCTTGTGTGTCTTTACGGTAAGTAGTTCTATGCTTTGCTGCTCAGTGGAATCATCTGGGGAGGTGAAAACATTCCCATGTTGGCCCCAACCCCATCTAACTGTTCCAAGACCTGTGGAAGAGAATCACTGCATTTGATAGTGATGAGATCTAATCCTGTCTCTCAAAATGAGGGAATGATACAATGTGGTGTATCTGTAGAGACAGGATTTGTTAGGTTGCAATTGCAAAGACAGTCTTCCCCACTTACACACATGATTGGGACCAGTGCTGGTTGCACTTCGGAGGTAGTGTTCCTGTCCTGTGAAGATTAATAATGTGTCCTATTTTGCATCCTTACCAGGACTAGCACAGAAACTCTGTGTGTGTGTTTATTGTGGTGTGTGTGTGTGTGTGTGTGTGTGTGTGTGTGTGTGTGTGTGTGTGTTTATGGACATCTTCATGTGAGCATGTGGAGGACAGAAGTCCACTTTCACCTTATTTTGGAGATAGTCCCTTATTAAACGTGGAGCTCACTGATTCCCTTGAGACTGTTTGGCCATTAAGCTCTTAGGAATATACTGCCCCTGCCCTCCGTCACTACTTCCTCAGTCCTGGGATACAGGTACATGCCCAGCACATCCAGATTTTCATATCTGTGCTGGAGATCTAAACTCAGGTCCTCGTGCTTGCATGGTGATTACGGACTAGGCTATATCCTCAGCCCTAAAAATGGTTTTAAAATGAAGTTATCATATTTATTAATAACAAAGTAAGTGTGCTATTGACTAACATAATTAATTGAGACACCCCCACACACACACACAAATACAAAAACCCTCTTTAACAACACTTTTCTAAAATTAACTCTTAGTTCTTAGCTGGTCTTGAGACAGGCAGAGCAGCCACAGAAAGTCATTCTGCTCACATCAAAAACAAGGTGAGCAATTTTCTGTGGGCAGGCCCCCTGACCTCTGCTCTTCAGCTTTTTCTTAATAAACTGGCTTTAGAAATTGGGGCACAAAAGCCACTGGTGGCAATGTGTTTTAGTAGGTGTAAAGGAGACACTGAGGGAGAGATGGCAAGAGTCAGAAAGCTACTCTGATTACTATCTCTGAGACAATGCAATTATACTTCCATCTAGAGATTGGAAGGGGTAACCCCAGGTTCATTGGCCAAAAACCTAGCAAGCAGCATCCGGGTATGGATGAAATTCAGAGAGCAGGGCAACTTCCCAGCAAGCTAACTTGAAACTATTCCTCTGTGGCATGTCGCACATGCTGATTAGTAATACCACTTCCTGAGATGGGAAAGTGCTAATTAACTTCCTGTTTAACAGGGCCCATTTCCCAACCTGCAGGGGGCACAGAAGACAGAAAGCAGTTCTGGACACCATAGGACCCGGGCCGCTCAGGAATTAGGGTAAAGACAACTGTTGTCTGGCAAGGCTGGGGCTTGCCAATTGATGTTTAATGCACATACTCTAGCAATCAAGCTTTGAGAACTGTAACATGTAAGAAAGATGGTCCCAAAGCTTTGCGTATGAGTGGTTACCCTGGCCCCTCGGAGGTTGTCCCCTCCGCAACCTCTGCTTAGAGTTTGGCGGTGGAATTAGGAAGCAGAGCAGGGCTGGGAAACTCCTATGGGAGCTCAGGCACTCTTCACTGCCTGTATGGAAAGGCCCTGGCTTGATGCTTACTCTGTTTTCACTCACTTCACATGAGGGCCCATGCTCAGCAGGGACTCTCCTAAGAAGGCCGTCTCCTTTCCATGGACCTTATGAGGAACAGCCTTTATGTGTCTCCAAATCATCTGCCGATATTACCCTTCCATGAAACTCAGAGTGAAAGAAAAAGAAGACTGCTTTCTATTCACTT